ACAAGGGGAATGCACTGTTCATTGGGTCAAAGGTCAACCAATTGCAAATATTATAAGGAATGAAATCAAGTGTGGCACCAACAAATATAGTAGTTTATTAAAGCAAATAGTCACACTAAAATGATGAATACTCTATTATTTCACTGCACCTACATATCAAATTTCACTTCAATGGAACGAGCTGTACTGACCAGACAATGGTATACAGAAACACATCCTCACATGGATATATTCAACCTTACAGCAAATTTAACAAATAACCACAGCTGGTACAACTCAGATGGCCCAGCCCTAAACTAGGTGTAGACTAAAACCAAACCCATGTCACGATCCTCCAAGTGTTGCAAGAAACAACCACAAACAAGAACAGACAACGTTTTTTTTGGATGAACATCTTTGTTTTTGTTTGAGTCCATTTTTGAGAATAGTGAAACCAAAGTGTTTATGACCAAATAGTGTTTATTTAAATCAGAGTGTTACAGTAAAAAGTATCAGGATGTGTGACCTTCATGGGTTATGAACATGGCCTATAGTGTAGACCACAGTATGTTAGGATCACTGGTGTGGATTAAAACCAAAGTGTTCAAGGCCTAACAGTGTGGATTAAAACCAAAGTGTTCAAGGCCTAACAGTGTGGATTAAAACGAAAGTGTCTAAGGCCTAACAGTGTGGATTAAAACCAAAGTGTTCAAGGCCTAACTGTGTGGATTAAAAACAAAGTGTTCAAGGCCTAACAGTGTGGATTAAAACCAAAGTGTTCAAGGCCTAACAGTGTGGATTAAAACCAAAGTGTTCAAGGCCTAACAGTGTGGATTAAAACCAAAGTGTTCAAGGCCTAACAGTGTGGATTAAAACGAAAGTGTCTAAGGCCTAACAGTGTGGATTAAAACCAAAGTGTTCAAGGCCTAACTGTGTGGATTAAAAACAAAGTGTTCAAGGCCTAACAGTGTGGATTAAAAACAGTGTTCAAGGCCTAACTGTGTGGATTAAATCCAAAGTGTTCAAGGCCTAACTGTGTGGATTAAAAACAAAGTGTTCAAGGCCTAACAGTGTGGATTAAAAACAAAGTGTTCAAGGCCTAACTGTGTGGATTAAAACCAAAGTGTTCAAGGCCTAACAGTGTGGATTAAAACGAAAGTGTTCAAGGCCTAACAGTGTGGATTAAAACGAAAGTGTTCAAGGCCTAACTGTGTGGATTAAAACGAAAGTGTTCAAGGCCTAACTGTGTGGATTAAAACCAAAGTGTTCAAGGCCTAACAGTGTGGATTAAAACCAAAGTGTTCCTGAATCACTGGTGTGGATTAAAACCAAAGTGTTCCTGCATCACTAGTTTGGTTTAAAAGCAAAGTATTCTAAGCCTAATAGTGTGGATTAAAACCAAAGTGATTCACATTGATCAGACTTTCCGTGATAATCGGACCACAATCAATCAGAAAATATTTGAATGGCAGGAAGAAGATAACAATAGTAAGAATTTAACAAGTTCTGAACTGTAGCTTATCATGCATTTAAATGTATATTGTTTCACAAAATATCACAACATTAGCCCTGGAAATATTTTTATACTGTTTGCACAGAGGATAAGCAACAAAGTATTTAACAAATTTTGCTTGGAGGTTTTTTTATGTTGAAATTTTAGAAAAAAATTAAGAAAAATTTAGTTTGAATTATGATAAATCAAAATAAAAAGCACAATTTTAGATAAAAATAAATCATGAATCGATTTCTCAAAAAACATACTGACCAAAAATTTAGTAGCACATGACACACTTGTAATAATAATAATCTTTATTGCATAATCGTATCCTTATTTGGATATTGTATGCAAGAGGCATGTCAAAACAAGTCATATTTAAATAGAATTTTTGCTTTATGTCCATTTAATAGGGTACGTAACATTTGTAGCTGCCACCAATAGTTGATGAGAGTGAAAGGCTGAATTGAGTGAAATGATCTGAGGATAAGTAGCTGTTGATAAATAGCACAACTTTTACTACCAGGATCCCCCTTAATAAACTCACATCAAGGACAGTCTTTAAACTCTACTGTTTACACTGTCTAGCTGGTTAATAAAGTTAATCATTTATTCAAAAATAATATAGAAGAAAATTGGCTAGTGTCACTCTGGCTTTTTTCAGATAAGATTGAAAATATGTGTAAACAAAAAACACTGATGTGGCCACCGACTATTTTAACACCACCATATAATGATGCCCAGATTCCCAATGCTGTTATCACATTGACTTGAGTGTTGTATGATCCGCTATGTGAATAAAATACCAACTTTATCAACACACACATGGTGATACCACTGTCATAATATCAAAGTGGTCCAATAAAAGCTTGTCTTTACAAAATAAAGCTATTACTAGACTGAAAGTGCCACAAACTTCATGTGTGATATGGCTTCCGTGTGACATACTGTAAAACCATTATTTTTTCACAGAGTTCAAATTCACTATTTTCACTGACAAATGAAAGTTGCTAAATTAAATCATGATAGATTGCCCGGTTTTACTGGAAAATTCATGAAATAAAACTTCAATATCGCAATAGGGAAATGAAATATTTGTGAAAATTAATGCTTTCACACAGAATGGTCTTGTTGGCACTTTAAGATACTCTAAACCTTGGTAAATCATTAAAAAAGAATTATTAATATTATTAGTGTTAGAGGAAGTAATAACTTTGTGTGGATGCCACTATGATATTTGGGTCACCATAATAGATGGTGCCCCACATGAAAAGTTCAACAGAGAAAAGTTATGTAAACTTTCATGGCCATTCTTTTGTAACTGAGTCATCATCATCAGTGACCACCTTCTAAACAAACTCCCTGATCCACAACTGTGTTTATATACCAGCAACAGAGCGAATGACGTACTAAGACATACCCAACACAAAAAGTCAAAGATTCAACATTCCATGTTCTGCCTTAGTTCAGTGACTGGTAATTGTGTCCAACGTTCATATCAAGTTCACAACACCTTGGCTACACACGCAAGTTGTGACCAGGTCATTGTGGGGTTTGTTTACATGACACTTACATACTCAGGTTTTTGCATTACATGTCGTCCATCATTAATTTTTATGTAGGTAATTCTGTTTTAGGGAGTGCGTTTTGAATACGCAATATTTTAGTGCGTTTTACCCTGTTAGTACGCATAAACACACATTCTTAATTGTATATGCATATGTTTATATTTGTTGAAAATCACCGTCACAAAACAGTTTTATCTCAATTAGAAAAGTCAAATAATAAATTTATTCTATTTTTATATAAAAAAAAGGAAATCTCAAAAGTCCTCAAATTTAACATGTTTAATATTTCACAACTTGCTTGCGTGAAAAGAATGTGCAGATGTTACATTGTAAACAGAGTTAGCGAAAATCACTGTGTAAGCTGTGAACATTTGTCTGGGGTTCTACAACATTGAATCTCAGTAACTTTCGCAAAATGTTGTCATCACGACTGCCATACACATGTGAATCATGAAAGACTAGCAGTAAAAATTATAGCATAACTAAGGTGCAAACAGAGTGACCTTTAATAAGGTGGACTTATTTCTCCAGCTAGAAAGTCTATCATAACATGCTGGTAGACAGGGAAACCCCAGCGTGGGAGTGATGCAATAAAACAGCTGAGTGGACACCACATACAGCAAGTAACATTACTCTTACTTCAGTTTTTGAAATTAAAAAAAAAAAGACAAAAACATTCAATCTTTAAAGTTTTAAAAATGTAGCTCATGTTAGGATTTCGATAAAATGTTAAATAATTAGAATTCTTTAGCAATTTGACAACTTAATTAAGTTTGCAAGGGTTAAATTTCACAAATTACAAAATTTACTTTGTTTCCAAAACACAAAGTAACGCCATTGCATAACAAAGCAAAATATTTGAACGAAAATAATTATTATGAAAACTATTATTATCCTAATAATATGTTGTTATTTCACACACTGGATATCATTTTACATGCCTGTGCAAAATGGACACAATGCTTGAACTTCTAAAATGAGGATGAACACTATTGTTATGTTAACTATGTAAGGTATTGTTATGCTAGCTATGTATTGTTGTTTGTACATAAACCAATTTGAACACATCACCTGGTGCTTCAAGAATAAATGTCAAGTACAGTCATAAAGTAAACAGTTACTGAGAAAAATAAATGTGATTAAAATGATGCCTTCCAGTGTCTAAACAATTAAAGAAACTGTATAAGATCTTAGTGGTAGTTGCAATGTATACTACTAATTGTAGATTTCATGTCAACAGCAAAACATGGGAATATATGCAGTATGCTGACACTGTGTTTTAGCTGGCACTGCACTAAGTACTTGAGGCAAATGACCAACAGATTATGGGTCAATACAGGAAGCCAGCGAGTCTGGCCGCCACACAACAGACAAGGAATGTCGATAAAAATGTACTTCAAACGTAAAAAGTTGTGTTCAAACTTTTTAACTTGTAATGCCTAACGAGTGCACATATTCCTGCTACTGTTTATTTACTATGAGTGCAACAGGATACGATCTAGAGTGCACGCAGAAAACAAAAATTAACGCAAATACTTTGAATAACGCAGACCTAGCTGCGTCGTTGTGTATGCTCAGTTTCCACTGCACTGTGTAGGTCAACCGAAATGCCGTCAGCCAATGTGTTCAACTCTGATCGTCCTAAATTTTATAACATTTGCAACAACCTCTTATGATCAGGAGCCAATATAGATATCTGAAATAACAGATTTGATCATAAAGATATACCAGGTCACGGGGAAGCTATAAATTCTATAAACTATGTCGAGTTTACGTTCAAGCTTTGGTTTAAAAGCCATTGATTATGGCAGCCATTTTGAATGAGCAACAAGCATACAGAGTGCAATGGAATTCGGGTACTAAGTCTGTTTTTTGACTTCGCCGTGCAATCATTGCTATTTTGCACCCTCGTGGACATACCCAGCTATCTTTAAAGTGGATGTAAATTGACATCTCACCTGATGTAAGGCAGTAAGCCCATCGATATTGGCGGTATTGATATTGGCTCCCTTGTCCAGCAAAGTTTTAACTTCGTCCTGCTCACCACTGGCACACGCTGCAAGAAATACACACCCATCGTCGAACTTGATTTTGATCTTCCTAGAATCTCGTTCTACTGGAGTTTTAAAAAGGTCCGAATCCTTCCAACGTTCAAGTTGCTCATGTCGGCGATTGAGCGCAGTTTTTCGGGTATCCGCCATCTTGCTGCACCTTGCTTAACCAGAATTCATAGCGCCATAGCTCTTCCCTCAATCACTCAAGAATTTCAGTGGCACGTGGGACTCAGTTGTTATAGCAACAGTGACGTGCAGTACTATTTTCAGAGGCTTTCTCTATTGTATTTTACCCCGCTTTCCGCTTTAGGCTGGACAACCCTTATTACATAAATATGTATGATATTCTAGAGTTGAAAACACTGTTTTCTATGGCTTAGTATATCTATGGGTACCGCTATAAAGCGTGACGTCATGTATGGGCAATTGTATTAATCGATCACGTTAGTTTGATCCCTTAAAAAAAATAACGGCTACAGTCACACTTGACAAAGAAATTTGCAATTTAAAACTACATTTGAGTCGGTGCTGGTGTTTATTTTACAATAACATAGTGCTGTATGTACGTAGGGTTGATTTTCACGACGCCACGGAACACAGAGAACTGTCACAACTGCGCACATACTTCTCATACTTTGCAGAGAGTATGCCAGAAATTTGCAGCCCCGAAAGTTGGAGTTCCAGGGTCCCATTAAGTAGTGCTTTAGGCGCATTCTTCGCTGTTTTTTGTGAGGGGTGTGTACAGTATCTGGCAAAGCGAAAACATTGCCACGGAATGCTTATAAGGCAACTGCTGCTGACATTTTTATTCCGGAATGGCTCGCCATATATGGAAAGTGCTTGGCGTTCCACTCCCAAATAAAGCGAAGGTATTTACTGGGTTACGTCATGGGGCAAAGTTTCACGATTTGACAAGATGACCGTTGCTGGCGCTATATCAACTTAAACGGAAAGTGTCAACTGGATTATACCAAGTATGGAAATTTCACGAAGCAAATAATCTTGCTCCCAGCACGGTTACTAATCGTAGTAACCTTGCTTTTAGTAAAGTGATCATCAGAAAACAAGACTATCATCCATTGATTACTTTGTTTTTTGTTTTTTTTACACCATTTTTAATTGATCATCTTATTTGCTCATCAGAATGGCCCAGTGCGTGCCCATGCCATTTGAGGTACGCAATAAATTTGAAAATTAATTAAACCAATACTAGTATACGGCAGTGAGGCAGTGATATTTGGTTCTAACAAATCTGACATAGAAGATGTTACGATTCATCGTGTGAGGAAAAACATTTCCATAATGGAAATATATAGAGAATTGGCTCAATTTCCAATAGATTTTATTTTATTTTTTAAAAGTCAAATATAAGCGAGTAATAAACATATTAAACGAACTTGTGAAGGAAGCATCGTTATTAAATGGACAACTGAATAGTAAATGGTATTGCGCAATAATTTCCTAACCAGATAAGATTAATGAAACACAAATAATCGATACAGACATTATAATCACAAGTACTAGAAATACAATTAAAATAAAAAATAAAAAATAAATATTTGTTAAGTCTTTCTGCGAGCCTATGCAGAAATAAACGATTACCAGCAAACTAGTATACGCTGAGGGCGCTCACTTTGATAGTAACTAAAGGAAATAGCAATTGCTTTGTTTTGTCAAGGTATTAATCAAGTCTCGTCGTCGTGCCGCGTCCTGTTCGATATGGGACTTATAACGACGTATACAACGCGTATAAAATACATTGTTTATTTACATGAAATTCGAACACGCGCTGCGCGACGACCATCGCCCTTTAATTGAGAAAATGCAGCTTGCTCGTAATGATAGATAATTTGTTCAGATATTCACTGGAAGGATATTTATTTTAATTTTGGGGTTTTTGATCGTTGTAAAAAAGAGCAAAGTTTGTGCAACTTACACAGCAGGGAATTTGGTGATGAGCTTCACGTATTATTTGATTTAAAAAATGACGGGACAGACATTTGTGAATGGCAAGTTTTTTTTTTCAAATAAGATGACCAGCATAGACAAGCATAATACCAGAAACCTTGATAAATTTATTCACCATTTACTAGTACTTGAGGACTTCAGAAGATAACAAATAAGGGACCGGTCAGTTGCAATAGCCTGGTTCCACGGGGGTGGGTGGGTTTTTTGGTCAGACTTGGAAGTAGAGCAGGTCACCTACTTTCTGATTTATGGTGTGGGGATTAGTGTATTTTGGTCACTAACTATATTATATGAACCATATATGTATTATATAACAGGGCGGTGGTTGTCGCTCCGTGCCATGTTTTCGATATGAGACCCATAGCAACATATACAACGCATGTAAAATAAATAAAATACGCGCCGCGTGACAATACGACCTTTCAAGACAGACAATGACGTATGTTGGACAGCGACCATGATTAAGGCATACAGGAACGGTTATACAAATAGTAAATATAAAAATATCTGCAAGCCAGAATATCCAGTTGTAAACTGTAAAACTTTTAATTGTGATGTAATCCGTTTCAAATTTGTTTATATTTGTATATTTTTTTTAAAACCATTGTCGTGTTTCAGATAGTAATTTTTGGAAAATTTGTATGTTTTATATATGTGTTTTAGCAGTTAGTGTAACCATTTTGATTCTTTCTGAGGAATTGTAAAGTGTGGCAGTCGTCGTGCCGCGTCCTGTTCGATATGGGACTCATGGCGACGTACACAACGCGTGTAAAATACATTGTTTATTTACATGAAATTCGAACATGCGCTGCGCGACGACCACCGCGCTTTAAGTGTTTCAATGAACTAAACTAAACTATAGAGGGCGGGTCATCTCATTTTTATGATGGGTAAAATGATTTTCACTGACCCACGTCAGGTTGGAACGAATGACCGATACCTAAAGCGAAAAAAAAATTATATATTTTGTCTTTGTAAAAAGTATTTCTTCTGACAGGCAGGCATTATGACCAGTTTTAAAGCGGGAGACGTCACCTGTGCATGAAGTTGACACCATAACAGTCGTTGTTTGCGGATAAGCGTGCGTACGAACTGAACGACTCCGCTTTTTTATTGAGGGGCGGTGGGCATCGCGCTGCGCATGTGCGACATTTAATAAACATTGATTTTCCCACAATCCAATGCGCTCTTCTAATGGAAATCACAAGTATGAGGTTTGAATGGAAAAGACTTTCACTA